GTTCAGGGTCTCACTACTAGATCAGACTTGTAGTGATCCACCTGTTTACAGCCTCCCAAGAGCTGAGATTACAGGCGTGTCACCATGCCCACTCTCAATTGCCATCTCAGCGCGCCCTGGGGGCAGGGCTGGCACAGCAGGCCTGGGGATGGAACCCCGGCCCCTGCAATTGCTTGCAGGTGCTTTAATCCACTGAACTATTTGGCCGGCCCAACATGATATATGCATAAAATGGATTTTCTTGGGTTATTTCTCAAAAGCCACAGAATCATTCCTAGAGCTGATCACCTCGTCGCTAATGACAAATGGAAAGTAGTGGCCTCACTGAGTTTTGCTGAGGGCAACAGAGCACACGACAGATGACTGTGCTCAAGCAGCTATGGACTTTTATCACCAGATCCCCAAAGAACCTCCTGAAAACATGTCATTTCTAGCGCTCTTCAGCGGCTATGGGTCCCAGCAGAGTAGTTTTTCTTGACAAGTCGGAAGCCAGAGCTGAGAATCAGAATGCGCCCCTGGCTGAAGGAGAGACAGCCTCTTCCAAAGATGTCCCTGAAGCCACCCCAGGAGCCATGCTCCTTCTTGAACACCAGTGTCAGCTCGAATGTGGGTGCTACGCTGGCCCTGCACACGATCGGGCTCAGCCTCATGCACATGTTGTCCACCTCCAGCTGTACCTGTATCACGCAGCTCCAAAGGCTGCAGGGCTCTGTGGACGACAGCCACAGGACATCTGGGGCAATGCATCGAGTTAGCCGCTCAGGCACCAGGACTGTGAAGTACCCCATTTTGGTCCGCTTGGACCTGGACAGGCAGTGCTCCAACATCGCACCCAGGCTCTGGCAAGCAGCTTCCTCACACACCACCTGCTGCGGGTCAGGCTCAGGCAGCATGCTCCCCGTTGTCAAAGTCTGTTTGAAATAAGCAGTTTAAAAAGGGGGATCCAGGGCAACCAAACACAGAGAGTGGCACCCACTACTGTGTGCAGAGCTGCTTAGGGCTTGGGATTCTACCAACCGCGCTCTGCAGACAAGGCAGGTGATACAGGAAGCCACAGGAAGGTTAGCTATGAAGTAATGGTTTTGATAAATAAGGTGCAAAAGATATAGCCATTTTTCTTCAAATTTGTATGTGAGCACATAAAAACTATATCAAGAATCTATTTGTGGTTATCCAAGATGACTGGTGGTATTCTCTCATGTTTATTCTTATTGTTTTTGGGCAAGTCCCTCTAATTCTAGGAATATGGGTACAGAAGAATTACCGCTGTGATTCTGCAGTGAGTCAGTCATCCTGAGCTGATGGAGGCTATGGAAGAGCCAGAGCTGCTGTCTCTGCTGTCTCCAGTGGGATGCCCACCTTGCCTTGTGGTTAATGATAGCTCACACAGAGAAGACCTGTGAGGGCCACAAGGCTATGTTTAGCTGCTGGGTGGTTTCTCTCAGCCAAGCAAAACAAAGCACTCCCAGGAAAAGAGTTAGGTTTGCTTGAGGGAAAGCAGAGACCTGACCCCTGGGTTCCCTGCTTCCTAGAGCCAGGGCCCAGGCGGTGTCCACACCACAGGCCCTCAGCAGTCAGGGTCATCACTGGCTGTCCCAGCAGAGTGGCTCCCCCAGGGCCTTGCCTCACTGGGCTGCCCTGCTCCCTCCTCTCCCAGGAGCCTGCACTGTAGATTTCTTTCTTTTTTTATAAACAAATCTCCAAGGTTCCCTTTCTATCTGAGCTTCGCATGGAGGGCTGAGGGCCCATAAAACTAGGTCAGATCTCATTTTCTTCTGACCTAGGAAGCCCTGAGGGCAGCCTCCCCATCTCCTCCCTACATGGCTCGGGAGGAGTCCTTGTCACTGCAGGTGACCCCTGTGACAACAGAAGGGGATCTGGATCCAAGCACGGGGGAGGGACAGTTTGGTCATCAGAGAGCAGATATGACAGCTAGGGCAGGCAGAGCAGAGCAGTTGGATAGTCTGTAGTGACAGTACTGGGATTCGGGCTGTCCCCTCTCTCCCAGAGTGGGGGGACACTGAGGTGTGGAGACCCTGGGGTATGGAAGGGTCCTGTGGTGAGGTACAGAACTGGCTGAGTGTGCCATCCTGTGACACTCACTGCTCTGCACACTGAAGCCACCATATCACTTGTGTCTGCACAGCAGGGGGAGAGTGAGGCCTGGAAGAGTTGGGGGTCTTGAAGGCCAGAGGCAACCTGTGCAGAGTGAGGCAGGTGAGGTCCCCACAAAGCCAGGCAAGGCCCAAGGGCTGGCTCAGAGACACTCCTGTCTCTTTCTCCCTTAGCATGGGCCACTAGCCAGCTGCAGTTTAGGGGAAAGTGAGGCAGGTGTCCATCAGAGCCCTATCCCCATATGCTACTGCTTGGATTGCAACCGCTCTGGGGCGGTCCTAGGCAGCAGCTCTTATAGACCTGGGGCAGGGCCTGGTTGGGGCAGAGGAAAGTGACCCGAGTAAGAAGGGAGGGGTAGCTTGAGCCAGGAAGTTGAGGGTGGATCAGGCCCAGAGTCCCCACCCTCTGAGGCAACAGCCTGGCTGCAGTCTAGTGAGCAGCAGGAGCAAGGGGCTAGCTGTCAGCACAAACGTGCAGGAGGCCAGAAGGTGGGGCGAGACTCTACAGTCACTAGCCCCAAGTCCGCACCAGCTTGTGTGGGAGGCAGGGGCCTGTGAGGAGGGGTGAGGGACAAGACCAGCTTGGTAGGGGTCACAGGCCGGCTCAGGTCGGCTGCCCAGGCTGGGGCTCAGGGAGAACATCATGGTCGGGTAGAGGTCTTGCAGCCAGAACTCTTGAGTAACCTTCTCAAGGCACCCCAGGAAGGACATTGTCCATGTGGTCCTTGTGCAGGAGGCAAGGATATCTGCCACCCCTACTCCGCAACCTGTTGAACAGTGGGGGCTCAAGTGCCCCTCCAAGTGGTGCAACCCCTATCCCTAGGAGTACCCTAGGGCCCTGTGGCCAGTGACCCCTGCCCAGCCAGTGACATGGGACAACACAATACCTGCATCACCAAGGTAATGTGGCCAGCTCCACAGGTGGACAGAAGCAGCAGCTAGCACAGGGCTACAACTGTTAGCACCTCTGGCTTCCTGCAGAAAGGGATCCCTGTGTACAGGTGACTTGGACAGCTCACTCCCTGTGGGCCAGACCTCACCTGGGAGATCTGGTGATGGCAGAGGCCCCTGTGAGCCTCCATCAGTCCAGCGGGGTTGCACCTCACTTCTGCAGTTACACAGCTGTGTTTAAAGTGAGTCTGGGAGAGCAGACAGAGCGAGCATCCTAACTGTTCTGTGTGAGGTTGCAGGCTATCGGGTATGTTCTCAGGGTTGTACATATCGTCATAGAAGTACTTGCCAGACAAAGTGATGTGGGGTCTTTGTACTGTTAATTCTCTGTTCCTGACACTGTAAAAATAGTTTTTGGGACTGCAGGCACTTATGCCACTGAGCCATCTCCTTGCCTTAGATGCTGGCTTTTCAATGGTTAGTGTATTCATCTACCCACTTACGAAAAGAAACAAGAGAAAGCTGTAAGGGCGACTCTGTGTCCTGTCTGATGTAGTAGCAGACGCTTCAGTTCCAAGCTCCCCCTTGCACAAGCGATGCTACAGGACATGTAGATGTGGACAGCAGTGATGCACAAAAGGAACACACAGTGCTTCAGTGTGTGAGTGCAGGGAGCGCTGGCATCGTGCACTGCTGATGTGGAGCGCTGAGCACTGCCTGTGTTTCACTAGTTTTCTCACTTTACCAGAACTATGGCCAGTGCAAGCCATTCTTCTCGAGCTCTTACTAATACACTCACATCCAGTCTACTGCTTACTTCCTGTCCTGAGCCAGGGTACCTGGGGAGGATGCTGGAACCTTGCATCTGGCAGCCTGCTCAAGGAAGACCACAAGGCACATCCACTGATCTATCAGCTTCCGCTGTACCCTGGCAAGCTAGTATCACTGTTGTGACCTATGATCATTTTGCCTTGACTTTGAAAAATCTCCGATTTCTTGTGACATTTTAAGGAAAAGTTACCTGGGGAGTGTTTATGTGTGTTCTAATCCCAATGTGTTATCTGGACTGGATTAGGAAATGCCTGGCAGGGTAGAAAAGCACAGTTCTGGTGTCCGAGGGTGATTGGTAGCTAGCCCAGACAGCTGAGGAGAAAGACCTACCCAGATGCAGGTGATACTGACCAACGGGCTTGCAGCCTGGCAGAATGAGAAGCGAAAGGTGAAGGGAGTGTACCTATTTCTGAAGAGCTCCAGTTGTCCATCAGTATCCAGTTTCTTCAGCTAGGTCAGACCTAATTTTTTTTTTTTTTTTGTGGTACCAGGGATTGAACTCATGACCTTGTGCTTGCCAGGCAAACACTTATTCTACTGACCTATCTCCCTGGCCCCAGACCTAGGTTTATAGACTTTCTGGCTACTGTGTTTTCAGGAACCAGAAACATTTGCACCATTTAGGAGCCTATCAAAAATATAGACTCTCATGCCTCCCCCCAGAGCTGCTAAGACAGACTCTGTGGTATAGCAAGACCCTTAGGTGGTGCATGCAGGATGCAGTCAAAATTTAAATCGAACTGTTTTAGTTATAAAGAATAAGACCATTAGATCATCTCAGCACTCAACATTATTTCCAGGTCAGCTAATAAAATCACCAACTGCTATTATGTAAAACATGTCCCTCCTGAAGATCCCTGTGTGTAAAAGAGATTGGATCATGGCAACATGATGCGCACCAGTGGACTTGTTCATGGTTGAGTTCATAGCTAAGTGTGATGTTAGGAGGCAGGGCCAGGCTGGAGGTGGCCACACCTGGAAGGGCACATGCTTGCCCTTTGCTCCTCTTGCTGCTTCCTGGCTGCTGTGGCTTCAGCAGCGTTTTTACACTATGCCCTTCCACCATCCCCTTCTGCACTTGGGCCTTCTGATCACTGATGGAATCCACTAAACATGGAGAGCCAAACACATTTCTTCTTCATTAACCCATCTATGCTGCAGGTTGTAATTTTCTGAATTTTTGAGTGAAATTCATATATTTTATTTAGAAATGTTCAAGGAACAAAAATTTGATAAGAAAATTTTTTTATATTCCATTATTATGCTCCATTTCAAAAATGGTACCCTAATCATAAAAGAATTAAGTTGCAGATATTGATTGTCTTGTCCCAGGGATGGGCAAACAACTAATGCAGGTATGTACTGTGGCAGGGTACAGTCTCCAAGGAGGGCGTGTCCCTTCCCAGCTGGATGTGCATGTTGCTGCTCTGTGGCTGAAGTCAGGTACATGGCTTGAAGGAATCTGACCCTTGGGCTTGGCACGTAAAACTACATACAACTCAGTGAAAACTATACAGCTGTCAGAGAAAACTACATCAACACATTAAGTCCTGCTTTAATGCACTCAAGGTGCTGTCTGTTATGGTGTGTGTCTAGGTGTCCCCCCAAAACTTCAGGAAGTCATAAGGGGGGCTTTTCTGGAGGTGGCTGGATCTAGAATGTGTGATGCTGGGATTGATTTATGGGGCAAAGCTAGGGTCAAGGGCACTAGGATCAAGTGTTGCCTGCTCTAAGTATTCCTGGGTAAGGGCTAGAAAGAGCTGTGGTCATCCCTTGTTGCTTTGCTACCTTCTATCTACCGTGGACTATTTCTCCTACACAATGCCTGTCCACCAGGCCACCCTGCCTTAGAGCCAGCTGATTATTGGCTGAAACCACACTGTGATCTAAATAGACCTCTTCCCCTTTAATTTTAGGTGTTCAATATTTTTGTCTCAGGATTGAGGGAAAAGTAACTATGACTCTATCAATCTCTGAATAATTTTCAAACTGAATGGAGGGCAAGTCCATCATGCAGCATAGGAAAGGGCTTACATTAGGGAATGTATTTAAGGTGA